GCACGGTCTCCGCCCTGCGCGGCCTCCGGAGGCCCGGCCGAGGCCGGCGCGCGGCGGGGCAGGTGAGGGCACGCCCAGCCCCGGGCCTGCTGGGTCTCGCTCCGGGAGAGGGAAGCGCTCGGCAGAGTTGGGAGGGCTGAGGGTGGCCGAAGGGCTGCGGCGCGGCGGGAGGGCAGGGAGAACCCGGGCGGACGCACGCCGCCTGCGCCCCTCGAGCGAACTCTCAACCGGCCCCTCGCAGGCCGCCTCCAGTTTCTCCGGTTCCCCGAGGCCCTTCGGGGACTAGCCCAGGTGGCTGAAGTACGGCTACGTGCCCTGCCCTCCAGGTATATCCATCACTCACACCCCGGGGTGCGTCCAGGTCCGGAGACTCCCTTCTCCCCTTTAAAGAGCCTGGGGGACCTGCGATCGCCAGGTGGAAGAAACGAGAGCGGGTCATCTCTGAGTAAGAGGGTGATGTAAACCGCCGACAAGGGCGAGGCACCCAAAATACGCACAATGCAAGACCCCGGGGCAACTCAAGGCCACGCCCCAGGCCGGAATTGGGTGGCTCACCTCAGATTCACCACCTGGTCTCGCCGGTCACCTTCCTGTCGGATTTACTCCCAAAGAAGGCTGGGTGGATGACTTTGGGCAATGTACACAACCTGTCCAAGCCTCCTTGGTTCATATTACACACATCTGTTGAGTGTTTACTACGTGCCAGACATGGGGCTGAGCTCTAAGGATGCAGTGGTTTAATGAGACAGTCAAGGCAATGATAGTTTCCTCATCTGTGAAATGGGTAGAGATGGAATGTCCACCACCATTCCAAGGTTTCATGCAGTATAATACAAGCTTTAGCGATTTACACCGAGTACATAGGCTCATGATAACTTAATTTAAAATGCTATCAAATTTAGAAGTGGAATCCTTGTTTTTGCTTGCACATTACCATATTCAGCCGTTATAATGGTTTTGAAAGTATTTTACATTTAATTTTTTTTTTAAGATTTTATTTATTTATTTGACAGAGAGAGACACAGCAAGGGAGGGAACACAAGCAGGAGGAGTGGGAGAGGGAGAAGCAGACTCTCCGCTGAGCAGGGAGCCCGATGCGGGGCTCGATCCCAGGACCCTGGGATCATGACCTGAGCCGAAGGCAGACGCTTAACGACTGAGCCACCCAGGCGCCCCTTTACATTTAATTTTAAAAAGGTCAGTTGACTTTGATTTCAGGGCTGTAAGTTCAAGCCCCCACTGGGTGTAGAGATTACTTAAAAAAAAATAAAATCTTTAAAAAGATCAGTTGAGGGGTGCCTGCGTGGCTCAGTGGGTTAAGCATCTGCCTTCTGGGCAGGTCATGATCCCAGGGTCTGCGACGTAGCCCCCCATAGGGCTCTCTGCCCAGCGGGGAGTCTGCTTCTCCCTCTACCCCTCCCCCCTGCTTGTGCGCGCTCTCTCTCTCTCTCTCTCTCGATCTCTCTCTCAAACAAATAAAATCTTTAGAAGAATTTAAAAAGTAAAAAATCAGTTGAATAATTGTCAGCAAATGTGGGATTTTATAATTAAAACAAAATATTTACTGTCTGGTTTCTTTTGTTAAACATGTTTTTGAGTTTCATCTATATCGTGTGTCCTAAGCTTTTTTTTTTTTTTACTTCCTGGTTATTACCATTCTTTTGTGTGTGTGTGTGTGAGAGAGAGAGAGATTCTTTTGTGTGTGTGTGTGAGAGAGTGCGAGAGTGGGCAGGGGGAGGAGCAGAGGGAGAGAGAATCCCAAGCAAGACTCCATGCTCAGCAGGGATCCCACAAACCCCAGACCATGACCCAAGTGAAAAGCAAGAGTCTGACACTTAACAAGCTGAGCCACCCAGGAACCCCTGGTTATTACCATTCTTGTGACACAGGTCTAACACATCCCTTGAGGTCCTGGGTTAGAAATGAATTAAAAAGTGCATTCTGGACTTTAAAATTTCATATGTTTATATGTATAAACAAGCAAAATCAACTTTGAATCAGCTATTTAATTAATTTACACATGTTAAGTAATGAATTAGTTTGTTAATTCATTCAGCCATTGTATTACTGTGGGCTAGACACTGTGATATGTGCTGAAAATACTCAGATTATCTAGGCACAGAGACTTTATCTTCAGATCATAGTTATGATGCCAGGGAATACAGAAGAGGGCTATCTATTTCAGCCAACTTTGCAGAGTTGGGAGAGTGTGAGAAAAGATTTCGGAAAGGAGATGATTTTTGAGATGGATTTTGAAGCATTGGGTAAGAGCTTGATAGTTGCCTATAATAACCTGAAGTCTCTAGAAAACTTTTAAGATTTTTTTTAAAGATTTTATTTATTTGAGAGAGAGAGTGAGCGAGCAAGTGAGAGAGAGCACAAGCAGGGGTAGGGGCAGAGGGAGCTGACGTGGGGCTCAGTCCCAGGACTCTAGGATCATGACCCGAGCCTAAGGCAGACGCTTAACCGACTGAGGCACCCTGTTTTAAGATGTTTTTAAGTTAACAAATAGTTATAGTTAGCTTCAGTTGGCAGAAGGTGAGCGATAAAGAGGAGCTATATCTCCTGACCTCAAAATGTTATTTGTTCATGGTACAAATAAATATTGAAACAATAACTGTTATCAGACACCCATATGCTGAAAAACTGACGTGAAGATTAGTGTCCTCCCGTTGTAAGTTAGTCACGCCTGCAATATCGTATGGGATATGAGTGGATTGGACTGGGTGACAGCTATGACCACGTTCTTATTCACTGAATGGAAAGGGGAAGTAAGTAAACAAGTAGAGGACCTTTGAAGGTCCTAGTTGTCTTGTTAAATACTAGCAACTTCCTTCCTCTAGCACCTTTCCACCTTCACTAGGTGAGCCCTCAGAGCTAAAAAAAATTCTATATAATTAATTGAGAGAAAATGAGAAAAAGCTGCTGGGAGGAGAAAGGGGTGGGTTTTTTTTTCTGGATTGATGGTTTTATTTGACCAGACAGGATGTTGTCCAGTGTAATCTTCTTCATTAGGTATTATCAACATGCTGAATGTCTAGCAACTAAGAAATGACAACGGATACCTAAAATGTATTTTTTAATTTTCACCCAGTCCTTGGGACTCAGGAGCTGTGTTCATGTTTGCGGCGAACGTGTTCCGTTCAGCGCAAAGAAGCTGAATGTGCCTATTAAAGCTACACCCTCCTTTCCAGCTGGATGGATAATGAGCGCTTTCTATGCCCAGGCAAGTTCTATAATTTTCTCCTTGCGAGGGTGGAGAGGGTGTGTCCTGATGTATCTATAGGCACTAGATGGAGAAAGAAAAGTCAGCAGGCCTTGCTGGAGGCCACACTCAGCTCACCATCAAGGATGAGAGCAGCAAGGAAGGTGGTCAACTCCCTCCTTCATTCCCTCTCTTCCTCCCCCTTTTCTTTCTCCTTCCTTCCTTTACATCCATCTCAATCAAAGCGTACAAAAGAGTATACATTGATAATCAAGTCTTCCTCCTCTTTGATAATAAAGTTCCCTTCCCCAGAGAAAATGGTTACCTATTTCCTTTAGAACCTTCCAGAGATAGTCTATGCATGTAGACTATTTTTGCTTTTTATACAAGTGATTGTATCCTATACATATTGTTCTGTGTTTTTGTTTTTCTCACTTTAAAATATCTTGTGATTATAGTGGGTATCATGACTACCTACCATCCTTGGAAAGTCCTCTTTATGTTTGTAGAAATCCTTTCATTAGTATCCCCATCTAGAAACCGGAACTCAAATTCCCAACCTCCCCTGCAGCTGGGGCACAGGCCTACAACCTGGACTTTGTAAGTAACCTGGTATTTCTTACTATTATGGTATTGATTATTTGATATTCTAGTTAGTTAACATTCAGTGCAATATTGGTTTCAGGAATAGAATTCAGTGATTCATCACTTACGTATAACACCCAGTGCTCATCACAAGTGCCCTCCTTAATACCCATCACCCATCTAGCCCATCCCCCACCCACCTCCCTCCATCACCCCTCACTTTGTTCTCTATCGTTAAGAGTCTCTTATGGTTTGCTTCCCTCTCTCTTTTCTCTTTTTTTCCTCCTCCCATATGTTCGTCTGTTTTGTTTCTTAAATTCCACATACGGGTGAAATCATATGGTATTTGTCTTTCTCTGACTCACTTATTTCACTTAGCATAATACCCTCTAGCTCCATCCACGTCGCTGCAAATGGCAAGATTTCATTCTTTTTGATGGCTGAGTAATATTCCAATGTGTATATATACCACCTCTTCTTTATCCATTTATCTGTCGATGGACATTTGGGCTCTCTCCATAGTTTGGTTATTGTTGGTAATGCTGCTATAAACATTGGGGTGCATGTACCTCTTTGATTTTGTATTTTTGTATCCTTTGGGTAAATACCTAGTAGTACAATTGCTGGATCATAGGGTAGTTCTATTTTTAACTTTTTTTTTAAAAAAGATTTATTTATTTATTTATTTGAGAGAGCGAGCGAGCATATATGAGTGGGGGAGAGGCAGAGGGAGAGAATTTTTCAAGCAGACTCACTGCTGAGTGCTGAGCCCTAAGTGGCACTTGATTTCATGACCCATGAGATCATGACCTGAGCCGAAACCAAGAGTCAGAGGCTTAACCAACTGAGCCACCCAGACCCCTCTATTTTTAACTTTTTGAGGAACCTCCATACTGTTCTCCAGAGTGGCTGCACCAGTTTGCATTCCCACCAACAGTGCAAGAGGGATCCTCTTTCTCCACATCCTCGCCAACACCTGTTGTTTCTTGTGTTGTT